TCTTCTCATCCTTCTTCCTCTTCTCATCCTTCTTCTTCTTCTTCTCATCCTTCTTCTTCTTCTCATCCTTCTCCTTCTTCTCATCCTTCTTCTTCTTCTCATCCTTCTTCTTCTCATCCTTCTCCTTCTTCTCATCCTTCTCCTTCTTCTCATCCTTCTTCTCATCCTTCTTCTCATCCTTCTCCTTCTTCTCATCCTTCTCCTTCTTCTCATCCTTCTCCTTCTTCTCATCCTTCTCCTTCTCCTTCTTCTCATCCTTCTCCTTCTCCTTCTTCTCATCCTTCTCCTTCTTCTCATCCTTCTCCTTCTCCTTCTTCTCATCCTTCTCCTTCTTCTCATCCTTCTCCTTCTTCTCATTCTTCTCCTTCTCCTTCTTCTCATCCTTCTCCTTCTCCTTCTTCTCATCCTTCTCCTTCTCCTTCCTCATCTCCAAGGGCATTTAAATTAAAGGTACAGTGTTCTGCACTAATTTAAAGGCTCTCTGAAGCCTAGAAACCCTTTTTATAAGTTAAATTCGTAGCGAATAAATTCGCATTGAATCGAATTTCTTCCTCGAATTCGGCGAATCAGCCGAATCGAATTTTTGAATAATTCGCTCATCTCTACTTTTAAACATGTAATTTGTTTCCCACAAGTTTTTGGAAAATGTGGCAAGAAAATGAACAAGTATTTTTTTTTAAAACAAGTTGTCAATCTATAAGATATTTCTAAAACAAACAGCATGGACATACCAAGAATTACACCCCAAAATACATTCTACTACTCCTCCTGATTATGGGGATACCACATGTGTAAGACCTTTTCAATGTCTGTACAGATTATGTGCCGAGCAAATGTAACACAAAAATCAACAAACACTGTAAAGAAAACAATGTAAACAAAAGATTACCTGTGGTATGAGGAGAGCATTGGTCTAGGTCAGTACAGGAAGCAGGCTGACATCCAGGCAGCAGGCAGAAACAAGATCCATAAAAAGTCCTGGGTCAGTACAGGCAGCAGGCGGATATATGGCCAGCACAGCCAAAATATGGTTAAGTCAGCAGGCAGGAACATGGTTCATAAAATGTCTTGGGTCATTACAGGCAGCAAGCAGAGATATGGTCAGCACAGCCAAGGTATTTGTCCAGGCAGCAGGCAGGAATATGGTACATAAAATGTCCTGGGTTATTACAGGCAGCAGGCAGGGATATGGTCATCACAGCCAAAGTTTTTGTCCATGCAGCAAGCAGGAACATGGCCCATAAAAGGTCCTGGGTCAGTACAGGCAGTAGGCAGAGATATGGTCAGCACAGCCAAAGCATTGGTCAAGGAAGCAGGCAGGAACATCAGGCGTAGGGTCTCAGTCAGGTAGGACCAGGGCACAGGGGTAGAGGCTTTGTCCCACTCGATCTCTTCGAAGCCTCCAGACAAACAGACCCTGTTCTGGGAATTACAAAACCCAGAGAAAACCAAAAACTGGTTTTCTCTACTCAGAATTCTACTCTGAAGCACCTCCCATATGTGAGACCCTGTGTTATCTTGAATCCTACTACTACAGTAGTACAGTAGCAGGGCAAAATATCAATCCAAGCAGCAGGCAAAAATCATGGTCGATTAACAGTGCAGGAAGAAGGCATAAGCGTGGTTGATAATCCAGATGGCAGGCAGAAGCATAGTCGATAAACAGGCCAGGGTCAGTTCAGGTGGAAGGCAGAAAGGCAGAAACGTGGTGGATAAACATTGCAAATGGCAGGCAAAGGCATAGTCGATAAACAGGCCGGGGTCGGTTGGTTGAGGCAGCAGGCAAATGATCAGAAGAGATATTGAAATGGGGAAATGGCAGGCAGTTTGAAATATGGGCTAATATTTTAGTAATGTGTGAAGACATTGGAAGCAGTCTCCAATACACATGCCTGGTTGAGAGGGACACTGGGGACAGTGAAAATGTGTGTCTTTTCTAACTCCTGCTCTGCTGCATACCCGACATCTTTTTTGGCATCTTCGACCTGCTTCTGTTGGTGGAATGCTCTCAGGGAAGTAGCGCTCATGAAGTCTGCTCAAAGAATCGGAATTAATGCTTTCTGGGGGGATCCTTGCTAATAGATAAGGGACAGGAAAACTTCTTCTATAAATTTGAGGAAGGCAGTGGGTCTTTCTGTGGATTTGGGGTTGGTGATATACGCATTATATATAGCCAAATTAATAAAATAGATTGGAACTTTTTTATACCAGAAATGGGACCTTCTTGTCGCTAAATAGGGCTGCAAAATTTGATCATTGAAATATCCCCCCCATGTAGAGATTATAATCTTGAATGGCCGCAGGCTTTTGAATTGGACCGTGTCTTCCAGTAATTTCCACCGAGGTGTCGTTGTGGATGGTGGACAGGATGTAAACGTCTCTCTTATCCTTCCACTTCAGGGCCAGCACTTCATCATTTCTTAGGCTTGCTGATTCCCCCTTTGTAGCCTGGTATTCACTAGAGATGCTGGGACGGCCTTCCTGTTTTTTCAGGAGGTACCGCAGGCCAAGGTTTTCTCACAGTATAGGTGTGGGAAAAGGGGCAGACTAGTATAGAAATTATCCATGTAAATGTGATAGCCTTTTTGGAAAAGTGGATAAGCCAGGTCCCAGACAATTTTCCCACTACTTTTCCAATGTAGGTTGGGCACTCAGTGGGATGGAGCTGGGAATCTTTGCCTTCATATACATGGAATGCATATAAATATCCCGTGGCTCTTTCACAAAGCTTGTAGAGCTTTACTCCATATCTCACCCTCTTACATGCATTATATTGCTTAATGCCTAGGGAAGTGGACAAGGGATTCATCCACACATACTGTACATTTTTATCGGGGACAAGAAGTTCAGAAAATCTTTGGAAAAAAAATTAAAAAGTGGGCGAATTTTGAATAATTTGTCATAGTTGGGATGATCTCTAGGAGGGCACTGGGTATTGTCACTGAAATGAAGGAAATGCATAATCATCTCATAGCATGACCTGGGCCAGGGGCAGACTGACCATTTGGAAACTCGGGCACTGGTCGAGGGCCCGGGGTCAGTAGGGGGCCCCATGAGATGCCCCTGGTACCTTTTTCATAGGCTTTTTTGAGTTTGGGCAAGGACACAGGGGAACCATGATCCCCTATTGCCCAGGGGCCCCATGAGTTGTCAGTCCACCACTGACCTGGGCACTACAGCAGAATAACTTGGCATGTGGTGGATTGGGTATGTGGACCAGTATGCATGTCCTTCAGTTTTTTTCCTAAGCCCCATGTTAAGGGTAAGGCCCAAAAATAACTTAAATTCCTCCAATGTAAGAGGTCTCTATTCAATTGGACGGGCATAGGGTGAACTGGGGTTGTTAGAAATGAATTGTTGGGCAAAAAGGTTTGTCTGGTCTACAATAAACTGTAGTACAGTGTCAGGCAAAAATAAATAAAAAGAAGCAATTGCTGAAAAATTCTCAGTGTTGGCTTACACACCTGGCTGTGCGGTGAAAGGGGGAATGCTTGCTGATCCAGAGTTGGAGGGCAGCCATAATGGGTTGACAACAACATCTGGGAGGTACGTTTGGGCCCTGATTCTTGGGGGTTGATGGAATATTCTAGTGCTGGTACTGGGTCTTTCCTCTATGGGTCTAGCAACATTGGCCTTTGCAGATTGACCATTGGGGTGTCTGGCACTGCTGGTGGCTGCTTCATTTTCAGAGCGCCATATCCTTTTAGGAGAGACCCTTTTCTCTTCTGATTCAATCGCTGATCCACTGCTTTCTATGGGCTCATACACTGAATCAGAATCGGACAGTGAGAGCTCCCCGCTGCTCTCATCTGTCATACTGAAGATTTTGAATGCCTCCTCCCTAGTGTAAACTTGTTTTGACATGGCTGGCTCTGGTGGCACTGGGACAGGTAGACTGCTGATGTTGGCTGTAGGACGGGTACTCTGGTGATGGTGGCTGTGTGACTGTACTCTGATTGTGGCTGTGTGATGGTACTCTGCTGATGGTGGCACTGATGGATGACAGGTGTACTGCTGATTGGCACTGATGGGTGACAGGTACACTGATGGGTGACAGGTACACTGCTGGTCACTGCTGGGTAACAGATGCACTGCTGGGTGACAGGTGCACTGCTGGACACTGCTGGGCGACAGGTGCACTGCTGATGGTCACTGATGGGTGACAGATGCACTGATGAGTACTGATGGGCATGAAGTATACTGATGGGCGACGGGTACACTGATGGGCCACAGGTGCACTGCTGATCGGGCAACAGGTACACTGCTGGGTGATGGGTATACTGATGGGCGACAGGTGCTTTAATGGGCACTGATGGGTGACAGGTGCACTGCTGATGGGTACTGATGGGCAACAGGTGCACTGATGGCCGATAGGTGCACTGATCAGCACTGATGGGCGACAGGTGCACTGCTGATAGGCACTGATGGGCGACAGGTACACTTATGGGCGAAAGGTACACTGATGGGCAGTGATGGGCAACAGGTACACTGATGGGTGACAGGTACACTGATGGGTGACAGGCACACTGATGGGTACTGTGACAGGGGCTGTGATCTGTGTATGCACTGTAAAAATGGTAACTCATTATTAGAAGATTCCTCTCTTGTGTGTGAGGAGAGGAAGCTGGTAACAGTGAGTTACCGCTCTGTGTTTACATTTATGACAGGCTGTGATTGCACACAGCCTGTCACGTTGTAAAGAACCACAGCCAATGGCTCTTTACCACGATCGATGATAATCTGTGTCCCAGGGACACAGATCACAAGCAATTACCATACGGCACGCACGCGCAATTAGAGTAGGAGGACATCATATGACGTCCTCCCAGAATGAGAGAACCGCCGCCCGTCCGTCATCTCCATATATGGCGGCCGGGAGGCGGTTTAACTAACACTGCTCAAAAAAAAGAAAAATTTGTTTTTTTTGTTGCTTTTTATTAGGATTGTGAAAAAAAAATCATTGTTGCAAGATGATATCTTGAAAAGAAAGTCTTGTTTTTCCTTAACCCCTTGACGCCAACGTCACACAAATATGCGGCCTCACGGAACTGGCCTCTTTTCCATGGGGCCGCGTATTTGCGTACCTGTCTTTATGCTGGCACTCCCAGCACAAAGACCGCGGTGTTACTGAGAGCCCCGGGTCCCGTTCTAACGATTGGGACCCGGGACTCCCGATTCCAACGATCGGGACCCGGGACTCCCGATTCCGGGTCACATGACCGCTGCTATCACAGTGATCAGTCACTGTGCAGCCTGGTCCCCTTGTTTTTTTCTCTCTCTATGAATGGAGAAGAGAGATACATTGTATCTCTCTAACGCCTAGCATAGAGAGAAAAAAAAAATGTTTGTAAAAAAAAAAAGATAAATAAATAAATATTAAAAAAGAAAAGAAAAAATTAAGAAAAAATACCTAGATCAAGCGTTGATCTAGTACAGTGCCAGGGTTATTGTTTGGGTCAGGGTCAAAGGTGAAGGTCAAAAGGTCAGGTTCAAAGGTCAGGATTTTAAAAAAAATTAGTATCAGTGTCAGTTAGTGTCAGTGTGTTTTAGGTAAAAAAAAAAAAAAAAAAAGACAAAAACAAAATGCGTACTATTGTTTCTGGGCTGTACTATGGGTACAAACAACAAATAACATACACATATATGGTATCGCTGCGATCATCAAGAGCTGGAGAATTTATTTTGGGTTGTTCTTTGGTGGTAGGTTATGGCAGTAACAAGAAACACATAGCTAAATAAATTTTTTTTTTTTTTTTTACTATTTTGGGACAATTTTCCTTTGATAAAAAAAAAACAGGAGATATCCATTACCATTTACCACCAAATGAAAGCCCAATTTGTCCTGAAAAAAACACGGTATATATCACCTGGATGTACAAAGTAGTTGTGATGATATGTATGGTTTTACTAACACATGTCAACGTTGCAAAATTGTGCTTAGACATTTCGATTTGTTTTACCCTTAGGCGTGAAGGGGTTAAAAAACCCAATATATGCATTACCTTGCTAACTTTAGTAATAACAAATATATCACTGAATAAATAGGTCCAGAAATGTAAAAATTGCTCTGGTCCATAGGGGGTGAACAGGAGGTGTAAGAATCAAAGTGGCTAAACAAACATACATTACTTTATGGAATTGTGTCCTGCTTCATTGAACATTTAATTGCACATCTTTTAATATTGGGTAACCAAGTATCATTACCAGTCATACCAATGGGTATGTGTTTACTCCCAATTCAGATAAACATTAAATTACACCAGTGTTTCATAAACATTTCTAAGTCAAGGAACCCTTTAAAATTATCTCAAGGCACCCAATTCTAAAATGTAAAAGAATAAACTAATAGTTTCATATTGCAGCAACATTCACACATGTAGGAAACCCGATGTTAGAGGTGATTTGTTCTTATAAAAAAAAATGCACCTTTGCACATTGGAACTGACTAGTATTCCAATGTTTCTTTTCCTTCAGTTTCTCTCCTGCACTCAGCTAATGTGACCCCATGTGACCCCATGTGGAGAGCTAATGTGGAGAGGGGTATGGGGGGGGGGGGGCAACAAGGATGCTGTGTAGACGTCCTCCTTATTAACTGATGACATCATCTGTTATTAGGACACCAGTAGCTGGAAGGTTGTAATAGTGCACAATGAAAACTTATGGCTTTAAGTAGCCAAAAGGTAGGCTTGATCCGCCCATTGACATGTATACAATTTTTGGGCAATGTTTAGGCATTTTGCCAAGGCACCCCTGAGGAAACCTGAAGGCACTCTGGATGAAAAATGCTCTTTGATACAAAGTAAGGAAATGGAGTATTGTTATGTACCATTTTTATGAAGTTACCATGTACAGAGAATGTGTATAAATGGAAAAACCTAAATATGCAGCAAGACAAATGCACCAAGGGTCTGTTCACACCACTCTGTTATGGTAGTGTACTGTACTTGAGCTGATGAGCTGTGGTGCCTTCCATTCATTAATTTTGAATGGCGCCCAATACACTTCCATAATGCACAGTGTGGTGTTCTGCACTGCAAAAAAATTGTTTAACTCAGCCTACTGCAATAACACATGAAATCATGTACATTACAATGTTGTACTGTGATCCGACCCCTACTGTCTGTGCTGTTTATGTGGATAAATTACTCTTCTATGGTGGGCATATATACGATTTGACACATTGGTATGTGTTCACCACCTAAGGTACTTATGTCTACAAAAGGCCTTGCGCTAGAGTTGCCACCTCATCCCTTTAAAACTAAACACATACTAATTACACAGGTTCTGTGGATGATTAAGCTGGTAATTAAACTCTCTGAGTGCCTTATGTGTAATATATTAGCCTCAGAACCTGTGTAATTAATATGTGTTTGGTTTTAAAGGGATGAGGTAGCAACCCTACCTTGCACACATAGACTTCTGCCTGTATAAGACCATTTTACACAGCAAGCTCTTACAAACCATTTGCAAAATTACTATGGACAGCTTTCTTGAAGCTTTTAAAAAAATAACTTTCAGCTCCAGTTTGGGGACATTAAACACAAATCATAATGAGAGTGCTCAGCACCACCTTAAACAAGCTACTAGAAAGATTCAGCACTGCTCAAAACTTGTAGAATGACTGCTAGCAGCTTATTTAAAGTGACAGTCAGCACTCTCATTAGGAACTATGTTGAAAGGTTGCTTAAAAGACTTTTAAAAAGTTTCCTGAAAGCTATGCAAAATCTTTGTAAATGTTAAAGAAGTGGCATACAAGGACTTAAAGTGGAAATAAAATTACTCCATAAATGTTAAACAGCTGTATAACACATTTACCTTTATAAATGCATAGAACCTGTAGTCCATTCTCTGGTTGTCCAGCAATCAGCACTGGAAATTGCCATTTACCAGCGACAACATGTAACTTATGGAGTTGATTTACTAAAGGCAAGTAGCCTGTTCAGTTTACAAGGGAAGTTGAACCATGCAAGGAAATTTTCCCCAGAGCTTAGTGAATGTGGTGTGATTTCACTTTGCAAAAAATACCCAGTCATGAGCATGGAAAAGAAAACTTCATATTTGATTGTGATTGGATAATGGTAGTCAGCAGAAGTTCACCTCATTCACTAAGCTCTGAGGATAATTCCCCTATAAAGTGAACAGTCTATTTTCCTTTAGTAAATAAATGGCAATTCATTGCATGCTGTCACTGCAGGATGGCTAGCAGATTTCAAAGCTGGTTGCTGGACAACCTATGAGCAGAAAGCAGTCAACCATGGTGCCATGAACGTATAAGGACACATGTATTATGTACGGTGCTCAGCATAAATGAGTACACCCCTTTTGAACAACAATATTTTAATTAATATCTCAATCAACACAAGAACCATTTCCTAAATTTTTACAAAACTGAGTTTTATAGAACATTTGTTTAGGTCATTACATGTAAGTAAGGTGAATAATATAACTTAGATTACACAATCTTCAGTTGTACTCAAATTAGTTGATGCAAAAATGAATACACCCCACAACAAAAACTACTAGATCTAGTATTTTGTATGACCTCCATGATTTGTAAGGACAGCACCAAGCGTTCTAGGCGTGGAATGAACAAGTTGGCGTTATATTGCAACACATATCTATTTCCATTCTTCAAGAATTAACTCTTTTAGAGCCTGGATGCTGGATGGAGAGTGATGCTCAAGTTGTCTCTTCAGAATTCCCCATAGGTGTTTGATTGGGTTCAGATCAGGAGACATACTTGGCCAGTGAATCACTTTTACCCTGTTCTTCTTCAGAAATGAAACAGTGACCTTTCTTTGTACTCCTCACCTTTGCAACACTATACAGTTTTGAAGCCATCAGTTTTGAAAATATTTATCTTGGTTTCATTACTCCAGAGTACAGAGTCCAAGTAGTCTTCTTCTGTTTCAGCATGGGCCCTGGCAAATTCTAGGTGGGCTTTTTTGTGTATGGGTTTTAGGAGAGGCTTCCTTCATGGACGACACCCATGCATGCCATTCCTCTGCCCTTTTATAATCAACTGTCTGCTCGACGCCAGTTTAATGAAGAATTAGACTCACCAGTAGTTGAATTCTTGTTAAATAGGATTTTGCTGTCTAAAATGTAGCTATGCTCCTAAGACTTTAATTAGGGTGTATTCATTTTCAGTCCTGAATGCATTTGTTAGCAAACTTAATTTTTTGTATGTGCAAATTAACAAATCTTTTTTGCAATCAATGGCCTGCATTTGTGGGAGTATTTTATAGTATACTGTCCCACAGAAAATGTTGATTCTGAAAGTAAAGTAAAGGTTTTCTGACAAATCTGTTGGGGTGTACTCGGTTATGCTAAGCACTGTAGCTATTCAATGTTCATAGAGCCATTCTAGGATGAATTTCCACTTTAAAGAAGAACTAAATTCTTAGAGGTGGTTATAAAGATGTAGTTAATTTTTTTTCAAATATGTCAGAATGCACAGCATATATACATATTACAGCAAAATTACCTAGCAAAGATTGCTCCTTCTGTAATGACAGGTCCCGTACATGGTTTGCTTGTTACCATCTCTGCTTTATAAATAAACCCCTTAGATTGTCATTGTACTTAGCCAACCAAACAAGATGGTGGCTGAAGCTGCACAGCCTAAAAGAAGCTGGAAGGAAGGTGTCGGTAACTGTAAAGGGAGCTTGCGGACACCACAAAGTGGAGATAAGCAAAGCAGAATTTAGTCCTACTTTAAACACCGATTGTTAAAACAGCACATAAAGCACAATGTAATACATAACAATAAGACATTTTTAGTGCATGGGTTAATGTATTATGTGGTGGTAATTTATTTAAAATATATACCAGCTTTCCTCAATGTTTTTAATATAGAGGAACCCTGGAAATAATTTTCAAGTCTTGGGGAACCCCTGCTAAATTATTACATCTCCATTTCATGGCAAGTTTGATAGGTCAGTAACTTGTAAGAATAATAACACATAAAAGAATAAAGAATGTAGTGTATCTAGCATATTTGACACCCGGAAAAGAAATTGTTTTTTACACTCCCCTGCTCTATAAAAAAAAATGTTTTAGTAACAATCATGAACTGGAACAAAAAATAATAATGTTCAGGAAAGAAAAACATATGGTGAAAATTGCAGTACCTCTCAAATTTGTGGTCAGTGAAAAACTGCCTTCTTATATTGGTAGTAGGTATAATGGTCCCATACATTGGTGGCCAATGAGAGAAGGACCCCTTTAATTAACGGTCACTGGGAGAAGGAAAGGTCTATGCCTGAAATGTCCAGTGTTTACTGTATGTATGTGTAGTTTCCGTTGTATTTGGTCAGTATATTCAGCCAGTCAGAATAAAAGAAATGCAGTAAAATTATCAGTTGCAGGGACATGCTTACTAGAGATGAGCGAAGAAATGAAAAATTCGATTCGACTGATTCGGCGAATTCGTGGACAATATTCGATTCGAGTCGAATAAATTCGCTGTGAATTTAACTTAAAAAAGGGTGTTTCTAGGCTTCAGAGAGACTTAATATTAGTGCAGAACACTGTACCTTTAATTTAAATGCCCTTGGAGTCTGCTGGGGAAGAGAAATAATACTGTCAGTCAGTATGACATGCAGATGAGTGCCGTCGATCTTAGAATCACCGCACACTTCACTCATTTGGGCAGTCACGGGGCCAAAACCAGAGTGTGGAGCCACAGTGTGGCGGTGGAGGCAGCAGCAATGGGAGGCCATACAGCACCCTATGACAAAAATGGAAACCACCAGCAGTGTGAGGAGACCTGAAAGTGGCACATGGCAGAGTGTGGCGATAGAGACAGCAGCAATGGGAGGCCGTACAGGGACCCATGACACACTCTGGACCTGGCAGCAGCATGAGGAGGCGGTACAGGGGCCCATGACAGATTACGGGCCTGGCAGCAGCATGAGGAGTCGGTACAGGGGCCCATGGCAGA